CACAATACTATGAATACACTGGAAACACTGAATTGTACAATTTAAAATGATGAATTTTATGTCAGGTGAATTTTATCTCCAAAAATTACCCCTCCCCAAAATGCACTGAAAGGGGATTTTAAAAAGGGGTTTAAAATATCAGAAGTTTATAGACTGAAGACTAGAGGGCTAGCTAAGCTTGAAGAACAGAGGCAGGAGTGAATGAAATGAGAACCGGAAAGACTAGAGTCTCAGGTAAGAAAGTAAGAGATCAGCATTCCAGATTTCTGAGAGAACTTTGAATGGTAAGGCATAGCTATGACCATGAAAACAGGTATCAGAATTAGAATAGAGGTCACTAACACGGAAGTTGGAGAGATAATGGAATTGTCATATAGCTGAGCCACACATACACTGCAGCAATGCAGGAAGAAGGACTGACTTGGTGAAAGAAACTTTGCCAGCTAGCAAAATCCTTAGTAAATGACACTGATGACAGGCATAATTGAATAATATAAGCCTACAAGAGAGAACCTAAGAGTATATGTCAACTTAGTCAAAATTATCAAGCTGGTAGCCCCAATTCATTCAAAAGTTCTTTTTACTAAGAGATGTGTGTGTCATAGGCACTTTTCCAGGTGATGAGAATATAAACAACTTATCCATTGACTGTCCTTTAGTAAGTAACAACCTCTCCAAGTTTCATTTTTCTCACGGGAAATTGGGTGTAATGCCAACTTTGCAACACTGTTGTGACAGTTGGAGATAATATAAGTAAAACCTAGCATCTGATACACAGTAAGTGTGCATCAAATGAGGGTTGTTTTTCTTCCTTCAAAGACTGTCTTCAAGGAGCTAATAATTTGTTGAAGAGACATCATCATTAGCATTTATTTAGAATGTAACATGTGCTAAGAACCATGCTAAGCACTAACATACACTAAAACACCTTATACTCATTAATAACCCTATGAGATAGGTACTCAACTTTTACTGTTTTTGAAGATGAAGAAACTGAGGCATAGGAAGGTTGAGAAACTTGCCCAACGCCAAATAGCTTAGTAAGTGGTACAGCCAGATTCAAATGCACGCAGCCTTACTCCAGGCTTTGTGTTCTTAACTATTACACCATGCTACAAGCCAAAGACTACAATAATATTATAATAATTTAAATGGAAGTGTGTGCAAGAAAGAATGCAATACCAGAAAAAGAACCTAAGTTTGGTAGTACTTGAGCTGTGATTTAAAGAGTATCTGCTTAACAGAGAGAGACAAGCATTCCAGTGAGAGGATGCAACAGATACAAAAATTACATCTAGATGGCCACTACGTTGCTCTATGGTGCTGTCAGTGCCAGAATACCTGGCAGAATGGATAAATCATTGGATCCAGCAAAACAATGCCACTCATGAAGCATTATTCTCCACAAGGAGTGTAACTATTGGTAACATATTATAAGCAAAATAAATAATAGCTAAGTCATCAAGCTAGTTTAACCTGTTGGTGGCATGATTTACAATGATATTACAGGCCTTGCACAAAGTTATGAAATCACTAAACTAATCCTGGGCAACCCCTCCCCTCCACTAGTCTTTCAGTGTCACCACCTTCAATAACAACCATTTCTTCCTCCCCTCTGTTTCTCCTCTGCACTAACTCCTCAAAATTCTCAAGTGGAATGATAGATACTAACCTAAGAATTTGAGAGAGGTACATTTTATAAGAAATCAAGATCTTAAACTAGAGAAATATAAAACTATAGGACCTTCTATTCAGGTGGAAGATAATATTTTTTTTTAATGTCAAAATTTCCATGATGCCCTTATTAGTCCTTTGGGTAATAAACACTCTAGAAAGGGCTTAGAGATCTTAGTATGATTGCCAACATTTTAATAACTTGTTTTAATCTTGAATATTTAGTTTTAAGATTCTACCAGTCTCCCAATTCCAACCAAATATGACACGGGGGCAGGGGGAGGGGGATGCTCATTAAAGAAAATCAGTAGCAAAAATGCTGTTAGTGGATTCTATCAGATGAGATACTTCATATTTTGAGGACCTCCCCAATGAACCCAAAAAATGTTTCATATGATTTACATGCAGTTCTCCCCATAAAGAACAGATAATCTGATTAGACTACTCAATGATTCTTTAAAAAGCCTTGTCTTTCAGGGGTGCCCGGGTGGCTCAGTCAGTTAAGCATCTGCCTTTGCCTCAGGTAATGATCCCAGGGCCTTGGGATGGAGCCCCACATCGGGCTCCCCTGCTTCTCCCTCTCTTCCCAGCTCATGCATACTCTATCTCTTGCTCTCTCTCTCAAATAAATAAATAAAACAAACAAACAAAAAAAGCCTTGTCATTCTACATACTCTCTCATAAATCTACCAGAAAATCAAGACTACAGTTCTGTTGCCTACCTAAGATTTAAAAACTTTGTTTCAGAGTGTTTAAAATAAATGGACTACCTCTGGGTAAAATAATAATAATAATAATCCTATATGTGTAATTTTAAAGAGAAAATATTTGAAAATCCTTTTGAAAATATCCTTACAAAAAATTATAACATTAATTTTAAAAAAAATTACAACATTAATTTAAAAAACATTTGCCAAGAAGCTTCTTAGCTTTCCTCAAAAAATTTCCAAGCAGCAAAGTGCTCCCCTAGTATGGATGCAGAAGCACAGTGGTGCACAAAAAAAGCACTGAACTAAGAATAAAAACATGAGTCTTGACCCTGGTTTGCCTCTTCTACCTCTGACTTGAAGCCAGTTCCCTTCACTTTCTGGGCTTTGGTATCCTCAACTATAAAATGGGAATAATAGCACTTGTCTTACCTACCTCACAGAATTATTATAAAAATCAAAAAGCATACTATATATCAAAGTGTTTTGGAAACTATAGAGTACAACACAAAAATAACTTATTACTAAATATTTTCTAAAATTTTGGTTTGAGAAATGTGTGCCTCGTTAGCACAGTAGGTAGCACGTCAGTCTCATAAAATATTGGTTTTACATACATAATTACTACTACTTTATATTTATACCACTTACATCATATACATACATATATTTCATGATTTCAAAACATTTGAAAACCTTCAGCTTATTTTATATCCTGGCTATTCAAAGTGTGGTCCATGGAACAACAGCATTGGTGTCACCTGGAATCTGATTAGAAACATGGAATCTCATAAAGGACTAGTATACAAAATCCATAAAGAACTTATCAAACTCAACACCCAAAGAATAATACAATCAAGAAATGGGCAGAAGACATGAAAAGACATTTCATCAAAGAAAACATGCAAATGGCCAACAGACACACGAAAAAGTGCTCCACATCACTCAGCATCAGGGAAATACAAATCAAAACCACAATGAGATACCACCTCACACCAGTAAGAACAGCTAAAATTAACAAGTCAGGAAACAACATATGTTGGCAAGGATGAGGAGAAAGGGGAACGTTCCTACACTGTTGATGGGAATGCAAGCTGGTACGGCCACTCTGGAAAACAGTATGGAGGTTCCTCAAAAAGTTGAAAATAGAGCTACCCTATGGCCCAGCAATCGCACTACTGGGTTTTTACCCTAAAGATACAAATGTAGTAGTGATCTGAAGGGGCATGTGCACCCGAATGTTTATAGCAGCAATGTCCACAACAGTCAAACTATGGAAGGAACCTAGATGTCCATCAACAGATGAATGGATAAAGAAGATGTGATACACACACACACACACACACACACACACACACACACACACTGGAATACAATGCAGCCATCAAAAGCAATGAAATCTTGCCATTTGCAATGATGTGGGTGGAACTAGAGGGTATTACGCTGAGCGAAATAAGTCAATCAGAGAAAGACAATTATCATATGATCTCCCTGATATGAGGAATTTGAGAGGCAGGGTAGGAGGTTGTGGAGGGTAGGGAAGGAAAAAATGAAACAAGATGGGATTGGGAGGGAGACAAACCATGGGAGACTCTTAATCTCATGAAATAAACTGAGGGTTGCTGGGGGGTGTCTGGGTTAAGGACACTGGGGAGGGTATGTGCTGTGGTGAGTGCTGTGAAATGTGTAAGCCTGATGATTCACACACCTGTACCCCTGAAGCAAATAATACATTGTATGTTAATAAAACAAAAAAAAAGAAAGAAAAAGAAACACAGAATCTCAGGTACCCCAGACTTACTGAATCAGAATCTGTATTTTTACAAGATCCCTAGATGATTCCTACACATAGTACAGTTTGAGAAGCACTGCTTTATGTAGCAATATCATTTAAAAAAATAATTAAATGAGTAGGAAGTTATTTTCAGAAAAGGTATTTCAAATACGTGCATCTGATTTATCTCCATAAATTTTAAGAAAAGATATTTCACTAAACAGTTACTGGTTACGTGAAACCAGAAGCCATGTCTTACTCATTCTTATATTTCTTCCTGCTTTATACAGTATTTCTTGGGTAGAGGGAAAAAAAAAAGATGATCAATAATTAATATAGATGATAGGAATTAATGCCCATTTACCCTCAAATACAATATGGCCACTTAATATCAATTATTAACTATATACTAAGCATTTCTGGCATCAGCTTTAAAAAAAAATGCAACCAGTATTTTAAATTTTATTTAATGTGTCCACACCTACATTTATAAACAAGAATGGTCAGGTTGTGTATGAAAACCACTAAACAGTGAAAAGATACATGCAATCTTTTTGATGGAAAAGAAGAAAACACAGTTCCAACAATATAAAGGATATCTAGTTAGCTCTGAAGTCAGATGCTGTTCAAATTCTTGCTCTGGCGCTTAGATTTTCAATAAGCTATTTCATGTCTATGGCCTCAATTTCCTCACATGTAAAATTGGGATAATAGTAACATTTACCATCATAGAGATTTAAAAAAAAAAAAAAAAAAGGTAACATGAACCACCAGGTATTAAAGGTCTAAATTGTTAATGGAAAATAAGAATTAATGTTTGAAAAAACTTTTAAAGTAAAATTCACCTTATCAAGTTTTAGTTCCAATTCTGCCACATCTCCTTCTACTTCTTCCAAAGCAGCCCTAGAAAAATCATATATAAAATAAGTTATCATGTGTTTATTATTTTTTAAATGCCCCCCATCTCTCCCCAGTCCCTCCCCACATCCACCCTCCAACCTCCCCTCTGCCCCCTAAGTTATCAGATATGTTTAAATGTTACTTTACTCTCGGAAAATAACTCTAAATGAAAAAAGGTATGAATGCTTAAAAATTACACTTCACGTTAAGTAATAATTACCTTAGGATGAAGCATAAGTACTTCATAAACATGAAATATAACAGATAATACAATTATTATTTAAGGTAATGAGAGAACACATTAATTAGGCTGACTGGTTCAAAGCATTCATGTTATTCAAATTAATAACACTAATAAGAAGTATTTAGCATGGTTTGTTTTTTTTTTTAAATGAGGAAAAATTTTAAAGTTGAGCCTTAACAAAGACTTGGATTTCTATTCAATACAACACATCTAACCCAATAACAGAGCATCTTTGGGAATCAAAAAGGAAAGCATTTTACTTTTTATAAATAGTTCAGAAAAATGTCATCCTTGTTTAATGAACCATTTTGTTTCCTATGTATTTTTTTTTAAGATTTTATTTATCTATTTATTTATTTGTCAGAGAGAGACAGAGAGAGAGAGAGAGAAAGCGCGAGCGCACAGGCAGGCAGAGGGGCAGCAGAGGCAGAGGGAGAAGCAGGCTCCCCACTGAACAAGGAGCCCGATGCGGGACTCAATCCCAGGACGACGGGACCATGACCCGAGCCGAAGGCAGCCGTCCAACCAACTGAGCCACCCAGGTGTCCCTGTTTCCCATGTATTTTTAAGAAATCACTAGATACTCTTAATTGTCAGGAGAATTATAAAATTATAATATTTATTAGTACTTGATATCACACTATAGGTAACATTCCAAAATTGGAAATTTGGAACAAAACAGCAGCAACGAAAACTTTTTAAAAATAATAAGATTTTACACTTAAGAGTTAAGATAGAACAAAACACAATTCATCTACTTTAAGTCCTCTATCCCATTTTCAGATACCTACTTGATAAACTAGCAACTTCCCAGTAGTTATTTTACGAATTAACCAAGTTTGTTTCAAATGGACAACAGTGGGGGACTAACCGCCCAAACACTTATTTTGAAACCTGAGTAAGAAATTCTCAATTAGATAACAGAACTAAGAAAAACATGGCTAAAATATAGCCTCTATTCCCAGAACTATCCACTTAACCTCTATGTAATAATGTCCAAATAATCATTTTTATCAGCTTGTAATTCTACTTCTCTATCTGGTCACAATTACTGAAAAAAGTTTTTAATCTCCCAAATAAGAAAATTATAAACTACAAATTATTCAGCAAAGAGATGCCTATTCCATAAAACAAGATACTATAGCATACAGTTCAAAGTTCAAGAAAACAAGAGATGATACACTTCCAAAAGACAGAAACAGAAATGCTTCTCCCCTAACTAAAAGTATCATTTTCTTTAGCAGTTTTTCGAATTACATTTGTTCCCTTAACCTAGAAAACATTTTCCCTTCACATTAATCTTAACTCCTGTTCACCTGACTACATATACTACTTGTCATTTTAAACTTAATTCATAAAAGAAAACAAATATATCTGCATAAGAATATTCACTCTTTGTAACAGGTTGAAAACCTACATGTCCAGCAATAGGAAATAATGTAAATAAATGAAAGTACATCCATCCCAATATTCGAGGCAGCAGGTTTTTAAATGCAACTGATCTACATCTACTGGGATAGAAGCATACATGTGATAAACTATTACATGCGGGGGCGGGGGGGAAGCAAGTTACAAAATTATATATAGTGTGAACCCAATTTCATGGAGGGGGAAAAGAAACTGTTGATAAATGCCCAGGGAAAAATCTGGAAGCATATTTACCAGTATATTACCCATAAAATGAGGACTGGAGAACAGAAAGTGTAAATAAGATTTTATACTTTTTACTACTTATACTTCTGGCTGGTTTAGTATTTGCCAAGAACTACAAATTTTTAAATAATTTTAAAGCCAATAAAGGGGAAAAGAAAAAAGTTGAGACATCATCTTCCCAGGAGATAGGGTCTGGGAACCTCTTCCTCCACCCACACCAGCTTAATTACACATCCATCCTGTGCCCCCACAATACCTCATGCATGCCTCTACCACTGTCCATTTCTCTCACTTATCGAAGCTCCCCATAGCAGTACAGACACTCAAAATGTTTGTTGGGTCAAGAAATAAACTCCACAATTATTTACTCTGTCACAAACATTCTTCATTTACTTATAACATTTATTTAACCTAGCTTTACCCAATCTTCAATTACTTTCAAGCATATTAGTTGAAATACCAGCTTAAGATTTGATTTAACCATTGATTTCTACTAAACATACAATTTGATAGAAACTTTATGTAGATTCCTCTATTATTTTATTGTGCAATTGTTCTAATTTACTTTTGTAAAACAACAATTTTTTATAAAGATTTTTTTTTTTAAGTAATCTCTACACCCAATGTGGGGCTCGATCTCACAACCCTGAGATCAAGAGCCACATGTTCCACCAACTGAATCAGCCAGGTGTCCCGTAAAACAAAATTTTTTTTAAAGATTTTATTTATTTATTTGACAGAGAGAGAGAGAGTACAAGCAGGCAGAGTAACAGGTAGAGGGAGAGGGAGAAGCAGGCTCCTTGCTGAGCAAGGAGTCCAATGTGGGGCTCAATCCCAGGACTCTGGGATCATGACCTGAGCTGAAGGCAGTTGCTTAAATTTACTGAGCCACCCAGGTGCCCAAACAACATTTTAAAAGAGAGGTACAAACACAAAAGGAAAAATGTGTTTCACCTGCATTTAAAAGTAAAGCCCTCTGTAATCATATATTCAAAGAATCTGAAACTTTATCTTAGATGTTCTTCAACATTTCACCTTTTCTAAAAAAAATCTGTTGGTCATCTAAGATGTGTGTGAAAACTCCTAGCAATAGCAAAACACATACATACACACACACACACAACTTGCAGTAATAGCTAAGTAGCTAATGTGTAAGGTAAACTAGTTAACTGAATATTCCTTAACATAAAAAGAAGAGTATATGGAAAGATTTTGATCTTAGTTCAAACTCTCCTCCACCACTCACTTATTTAGTATTTTATCTAAGTTTCTTCATCTGTAAAATGAGTGAAGAAATGCCTACTTAAATAAGTTGTAAAGGTTAAATCAGGGGCTGTTCCATAGCACTGACCACAGTACATACCACACCACAAAGAATACTATCAATAGGAGTCTCTTTCTCTCCTTTCTCTTAACCCTACATCCTGAGGTGAGTTTTGCCTCCCTATTACTTCTGTTCAGCAATGCAAGAGAACCATCCTGGAACATGTTTAATAAATGAGTAAGCGAAATGAAACAATCTACACAAGGGTGCTTCAAATATTCCTTTTCAACTCTCCCAAATAACTATTGAGTATGTATAACGTTTATAAATGTGCAAGGTATTAGAGGCCAATATTATAGAAACCCTATCCCCCGTAGCTTAAAACAATAAAAATCATTAAATTTTTTTGAATTATTAAAATTTAAAAGTTACATACACATTAACAATGTCCGAAAACATATGATTAAGTAGTAAAACATAAAATAATGTTAAAACAAAGGGGGGAAAACAGAAAACAGTCAACAAAGTCTCACAGGATTATTTTGAACAGAGTTCAGCAAACTACAGCCTGTCAGGCAAGTCGGGACCACAACCTCTTTTTATACAGCCCGTGAGCTAAAAATGGTTTTTACATTATTTAATGTTTGGAAAAAAACAAAAGCAGCCACATATTTAATGACACAAGAAAACTGCTATTAAATCCAAATTCAGCAGCCATAAATAAAGTTTTGTGGAATCACAGCCAAGTTCATTCATTTAAATATTTTCTATAGCAGCTTCTATGCAATAATGGCATGAAAGAGCTGAATAGTTTAGAAAGAGAGACCGTATAACCTATAAAGCCTAAAATATTTACTATTATCTGGCACTTTACAGGAAAGGTTTACTGACTCCTTGTAATGAATATTAAATACAAAAACATAAATAAAAATCCTTTCTCAAATACAAGATACATTCAGGGAAATAATTTTTAAAACTTAGTTCTGGTTCGCTGTACCTTCTAAGAAGCTGAATAAGCCTATAATTCAGAAAAATGTCACCTTACTTTTAATAACATCTTCATTCTTTAGTCTATCACAGTTTTTTACGATCAACTCAGAAAGTTAACAAAAAAACATAAAACTAGAATAGAAAAAATTCTAGCAACCATTATTAACACTGAGACTTTTTTTTTTTTTTTTTAAGTAGGCTCCACACCTAGCATGGAGTCCAGTGAGGGAATGGAAATCATGACCACGAGATCAAAACCTAAGCCAAGATCAAGAGTTGGACGCTCAACTGACTGAGCCACCGAAGCACCCCAACACTGAGACATTTCTAATCACATGGTGATCACTTTCAGCTGTGAATTAAATGAAGTTCTATGAGAAGCATAAAAATAGAATTCTCCCTACCCAGATAATTGCATACCCCTGATGTAGAAAAATCTTTTTTAAACCACTGTTTTGTTTTTAAAGTCAGAGTTTGGGTTTTTTTTAAGATTTTATTTATTTGAGAGAGAGTGAATGAGTGAGAGAGCATAAGCAGAGAGGAGGGGCAGAGGGAGAGGGAGAAGAAAACTCTCTGCTGAGCAGGGAGCCCGATGTGGGACTTGATCCCAGAACCCTGGGATCATGACCAGAGCTGAAGGCAGATGCTGAACCAACTGAGCCACCCAGGTGCCATTAAGCCACTGTTTTTATAAAATGATCTATAAAAATAACTAAATAATATGAGTAATATGAGCACTGTATTTTCTTTATAAAAGCAAATTATTTGAAACAGGAAGTGTGATGAAGAATTGTTGTAGCCATCCATTTGAGATCTTAAAAAAAAAAAGAAAAGCTGGAGCACCTGGGTGGC